TGATAATGATGATGGTTGTGATAAGAATGATGATGGTGGTGATGAGAATTGATGGTAGTGATGATAATGATGGTAGTGATAATGATGATGGTGGTGATGATAATGATGATGGTAGTGATGGTAATGATGATGTGATGATAATGATGGTGGTGGTGATGTGGATGGGTGGTAGTGGGTGACGATGAGGATGATGGTGATGATAGTGGTGTTGGTAATGATGGTGATAATGGTGGTAATGATAGTGGTGGTGGTTTTGGTGATAGTGATGATTTGGATGATAATGGTGGGGGTGATGATGGAGGTGGTGACAGTGAGGATTATGATGGCGGTGGTGGTGGTTATGGTGATGGTGAGGATGATGGTGATGAAGCTGATAATGATGGTGATGACAATGATGATGAAGATGCCAGGTAACAACAGCAAAATTATAAATAATGTAATCACGCAAACAATTTTTTATTTTGTCTAATAAAATGATGTATATTACATTGGTTGATCGCTGCCTCTAACAACGTGACCATATGGAGTGTCAAGGAGTTAATATGCATATGACAGCTGTGGACTTGCAGACGTATAACTACAACGGGACCGGGGGATGGGGGGGGAGGGGAGGAGGGTGGGAGGAGTCGAGTCCCAGTCTGATTATGTATGACAAGAGCAACATATCTCTCTCTCTCGCTCTCGCTCTCGCTCGATCTCCTATTCTATCTCTCTCTCTCGAACTCCTATCTCTCTCTCTCTCTCTCTCTCTCTCTCTCTCTCTCTCTCTCTCTCTCTCTCTCTCTCTCTCTCTCTCTCTCTCTCTCTCTCTCTTCTCTCTCTCTCTCTCTCTCTCTCTCTCTCTCTCTCTCTCTCTCTCTCTCTCTCTCTCTCTCTCTCTCTCTCTCTCTCTCTCTCTCTCTCTCTCTCTCGCTCGCTCGCTCGCTCGCTCGATCTCCTATTCTCTCTCTCTATGTAAGTATATATTTATGTATATAGATATATATATTATATATCCCTTTCTCTCTCTTTCTTTTACTCTTTCTCTCTCTGTCTCCCAACCTTCCTCCCTCACATCGCCTATCCCCCCTCCTTCCCTTCTTCTCACCTCCCCCCTCCCTCTCCTCTCTCCTCCCCCGCTTCCCTCTCCTTCTCCCCTCCTCCCTCGCTCTTCCCCCTTCCTACCCCACCCCCGCCCAGTCCGCATGCTCAGTTGTATTGCCAATTGAATGTTGCACGCTGGCATGTCACTCACCATTGCACAGCGAGCGGTGTTCTGTCATGTGGCAGTCTGGTCTATCTCCCCTATCGCTGTTTCTGTGTGTTTCTATTTTCTCCCGTGTCTCCGTAATCTTATCTTTGGGTTATTTCGTCGACTGGGGATATTTTTTGCTGGATACTGACGTGAAGCTGGCGATCATGGGAGACTGAGGCTGTGAAATCGGATTGTTTGTCTTTTATCGTTCACAAGCACTTAGGTAGTTTAGTGTGTCTGTCTGTCTGTCTATCTGTTTGCAGTGTGTCGTATTTGTATGTCCCTATGTCTGTATATATATATGTGTGTGTGTGTGTGTGTGTGTGTGTGTGTGTGTGTGTGTGTGTGTGTGTGTGTGTGTGTGTGTGTGTGTGTGTGTGTGTTGTGTGTGTGTGTGTGTGTGTGAGTATAAAGAGAGAGAGAGAGAAGAGAAAGAAAAAGATAAGGAACAAAAAAAAAAAAAAAAAACGCAAAGAAAGAAAGACAAATAAAGAAGAAAATAAGAAAAAAAGAAAAAGTATAGCAAGAAATAAAGACGACAAAGATAAGGGACAAGCGGCTCAGTGGCAAGAACGGCCGGCGAAAACGATGAAACGAGAACAAAAGAAAGTCGCGATAATTCAGAATTGGGAAATAAAAGAGAAAGAGAGAGAGAGAGCGAGAGAGACAGACAGACAACTTACACTATATGAGGCGACTTTGAGATAACAATCCTACCTGGAATTAAGGCCAGTTTAGGAAGGTTTTCCAATGGCCTGAAAACCAGTTATTGGGAATTGGTTATTTCTCTTTCATTCTTTCCTTTCTCGTTTTGATTGTCATTATTATGTGTCATTTCGCGGAGGTATATATATATTTTTTTTTGTTTGTTTTTCTTTCTTTTTCGTTGAGAATGTAAAGATCAAGGTTGTTTTTAGTTTAATGTTTATTTTTTTCTGTTTCCTTTTCTTATATTTTCTTTTGGAGGCTTTTTAAAGAAAGTATTTCATAATTGTTGTCTGTGAATCGCCCACATCAATTAGTTCCTGATTTTTATTTTATTTGTATTTATGTTACTCCTTTCATATTTTTCTCTCTCTATTTTTGCTATAATTCTCATTTTCCTATTTATTGTATATTCCACAACTTTTATCAGTATTATTTTCATTATCATTCTTTTGCTGATTTGTAAGGTTTATTCCACTTTATTTTTATTTTGCGGTAATTTTTATCATATTTCTTTCTTCAGTGGTTCATCTTCCTCCTTTCCTCCATGTTCCGTATTTATATCAATTTTCTCTTATCTCTCTTATCACACATGATTATATACAAATTTGTGCTTGAAGTACAAGGTTGCACTTGCATTTGTACTGGATGTCAAGTGTCTCGGTTTAAGTCGGGAAGCACATATTATATTTATAATCGTTGTTACTGTTTTTTTATTATCATGGCCATTATGACCGTCATAAGTAATGCTACTATTATGGTTGTTGTTATTGCTGTTATATGCTTGGTTGTTGCCGATGACAACTTTTTTTTCTTGATTTGACGTATTTTTTCGATTTATTTTATTCAGTTTGGGATTTCTGTCTTGTGTGACTGTAAGTACTAATTGTATTCTTTGGTAAATCGAAAGGAGGTGTGTGGGGGGGGTAACTGATACAAATGGGTTGACTCCATATTTATTTAAATGTTTAAATTCAGTGGTATTTTACATAACGAGTATTATCCTTATTACAACTTCCACGCACATGAACACATTCTTGCATTGTGGAATGTCAAAGTGAACATTGTCTATATATATATACATATATACATATACATACATACATACACATATATACATACATATATATATATATGACATGGAACTACAGCTATACAGTCCATCTGACATCTATAAATAAATCATTTTAAGATTCTGAATATACTATATTATACAATAATATTCAATATATCACTACACACCTCACTATCACAAAACCGCTGACTCGTTTTTTGTCTGAATATAAAAAAATCATCGTCTAGATGGTTCGTTGTAATAAATTATGGATCAGTGTGTAAATTTACACAATATCGGAAAAGTATAAAATAAAAAGACTTGGCTTTTAAAGACTACAAGACAAAAATAAATTTGACTCTTATGTACAGTTACTTAATGACGAAACTGCTTTCTATGTACAGGGGGGACTCAACCTCATGTTGTGTAATACTTTACCGTATCGATTTTTATATAAACATTATATACAGTGTGACAAGTATTGCTCTCTCTTTTTTAGACGAATTAACACACACACGAATAAACATGACACCAAGCGAAACACGGAACAAGTTATTCTGAGGACGCACTCTTGACTAAACCTCCTGCATTCTCACCACCATCAAAACTGGACGCAATTCACACTCTTCTCTTTAAATGCCTGACTATTTACAAGAACTATTAAGAAGACCGATCATACACACAAATAAACAAAAAAAAATACGAAAGCTCCATGTCGAAGTCATTGTAGCTACAGACCATTCGTAATAATTGTAATAGAAAAGAACATACATTTACGTTGCCGGGCTGGACACCGTAACGTGCAAGCTACCAAGAGCACCCAATAACACGGCGGGGTCACCACTCGCTAGGAAGATATACAGGGAAAATGAATGAGATGATGATGATGGTGATGGTGACGTGAAAAGGATGAGAGAATGCGGTGAATAATGGTGATGCGGGTGACAATTAGACACACGTCTTTGCAGTCTTATGGATACTTGTAGTTTTGATTTCATGTGTTCCACAGTGGGAACACCATAGCTATAGTATATAATGCTCATCATTCACAGATTCTCCAGAACCGGACGGCAGAGTTAAGTATATTCTAGAGTCTTTTGTCTGAACTAAACATGGATAACACTTGCCTGTCTAGAATGAACATGGAATGTGCTTCAATATATATATATATATATATATAATATATATTATATATATATATATATATATATATATATATTGAACCGCAACCGCATACACACTTTCATACGCACACATATATATATATACCTGTACTAAACATCCTCTATAAACCTATATACGCCTTTACTTTTGTAGAGATGATCGCTCAGGTACCTTCAAACTGGAACACAGAAGAGTCTGGTCCATACTGACACATGGCACAGCGAGGCATCCGCGAAGGGCCTCCGGGGGGGGGAGCGCTAGGAACTCGCTAGGAACCACAGGGGACTCGGTCGCACTCGCACAAGCCTCCTCCTGGGGATGCCTTTTCCTTCTTTGGTAACAACGTGGCTCGGAGGGCGGATCCTCTTGGAGGGGGTGGGGGGGGATAAGGAACAAGCGAAGGAGGATAGGGAGGGATGGAAGGAAGGAGGGAAGGAAGGAGGAAGGAAGGAAGGAAGGAAGGAAGGAAGGAAGGAAGGAAGGAAGGGGGAGTTGGGGAGAAACGGGGTAGGGAGGCTGGAAACGAGGCTCATCCTCCGGGTATGAGAAGCTTCGATAAAAATCCTCGGAGTTGGAAGGAAGGATACTAAAGGGTGTGTGAGGGGGTGGGGGGGGGGGTGAGAAAAGGGGGGGGGGTGAGAAAAGGTCTTAGGAGATGGCCTTAATTGTAGAATCATCCACTGCGTCTTCCTGTCCTACAGTCTTGAGAAACAGGTTCGACAAGGACTACTGTCCATCCTTCAAATCCAATTTCCCGTCGATTCGAACACCGAAATATCCCAGACCTCTCCGGACCGCCAAGAAGAATCTCCGTTCCGTCTCCTTAGCGGCGGTCGAGTCCTGTTTCGAAATCTTTTGAAGCCGTCTCCAGCCATTCAAGAGCTCCAGGGGATGGGGTCGCGCAGGCTGGCCACCTTCTCCATGCCGTACTTCTCGCACCTGCCCCACCACGACCACTTCTTGCAGGTCTTCTCCATCTTGAACACGAAGCAGCGGGTCTTGACCACGTCGAAGAACACGGTGCCCACCATGTTGGACGCGCCCGTCTTGGACTTGCGGAGGCACGCGCGGAACCTGAGGGAGGGAGAGAAAGGGTTTGGATGAAGGTTTAAGAAAATGGCGTTTCGTTGAGAAATACGTATTCAAAATATCAATTCTATATGAATAGAACCTGTGTTACGTAAATAACAAAATAACGATAATAACTCTAGTAGTACACGAAGATAACAAAGGCAGCTAACGATTGAAAAATAATGAAGGCAAACAATAATAATAAATCCACAACCGAATCCTCCAATGCAACAGCCCTACAAAACAAAAGAAGACATAACTGGCGCAGAAAAGACTCCACTGGGCATGAGCGTGGCAGCAATTCGAGGCGTAACGTAAACCTCAAATAAACCTTTTCACGTGAAACCGCAAGAACTCGAGGCTCAAGTCCATGACCGCAGAAACGTGACTGGATCCACGCGTAAAGTATTGACCGCAATTACAATACTCGGCGTAGATCTTCGCGTACGGAGTCGTCCATGCAGCTGTTTTATACTCGCGACGCCAGATTTCATTTCGGATGTTTCTCTAACGTGATTTGTTTTTCTTTGCTTGATTTCTTGTCCGTTTTTTTAAATTCTTTACGCTTTTTTATTCTCTTCTTTGTGTTATATTTTGTCATTTTTTTTTTCTTTATGTGATTTTTTCTTTGCGTGATGTGTGTTTTTTTCTTATTCCGTTTCCATTTTTTTTTTCGAAGCGCACATGAGTATGTGCGTTTGGCTGCGTTTGTTGGAGTGGCCCAGACAAAACAAGTACGCTCAACGCAGACAAACTCAGTCGCGCTCTGACCGCTTTCAGATAAAAAGTGTCAGAGGTCAGACGCACCAAGTAACACCGATCTGCACCCAAACTGATTAGGAAAAGACACATACCCCCCCCCCCCCCCCAATGCGACCGCGTAGCTATATCGATGCAAAGTCACTGACCTATGATATAATTGTATAACCTCGATGGCGAAGTAATATCCTAAGAGCTGACGCTATAAACCACTCACTCGTGTATATCCAGAGACAGACAGACAGACAGAGACACACACCCCTTTCTCGGGGACCATTATGATCTTTTTTCGTTCTCTCTTTCATCCAATCCCTCCGTTTCTTCTCCCAGTTCGTTTTTCTCCGTCGTAGAAACGTTTCCTCCCTCTGCGCCCTTCTCCCGCCCCCCTCCCCTCCCTCCCGTCTTCTTCCTTCTTCCCTCCTCCCTCCCCTTCCTCCCTCCCTCCCTCCTCTCCTCTCCCCTCCCTCCTCTCCCTCTCCTCCCCCTCCCCTCCCCTTCCCTCCCTCCTCTCCGCCTTCCCCCCCTCCCTCCCTCCCTCCCCCTCTTCCCCCCTCCTCCGCCTCTTCATTCCGCCGGCAACTTCCCTTCTCTCGCCCTCATGCAATCTTGGGATTTAATCACACTGACAGCAACTCCACAAGAATCTCTTCAGAGACTCGCGACGATTGGGGGAGAAAAAAGGGATAAAAAACAAGAGAGAGGGGGATGGAGAGAGCGAGAGAGAGAGAGAGAGAGAGAGAGAGAGAGAGAGAGAGAGAGAGAGAGAGAGAGAGAGAGAGAGAGAGAGAGAGAGAGAGAGAGAGAGAGAGAATAGATGGAAAAAAAAAACATGAAAAAATAAAAAGCGAGGAAAAGAGGGGGGCACGAGAAAAGAAATTTAGGGAACCATAAAAACAGAGACAAAGAAATTTTAAGATACAACTTCTCGTGATCTGTCTTGGCCTGCCCTCGCCACCTTTCCAGACGAACGCTACGAGGAAGAAGAAAACAAAAGACAAAAAAAAAAACGGGAATAGCAGCAGTAGTTACTAAGCATTCATTCCCTCAACAGTCAATTCAAAACAACATTTACTCTCTCCCTCTTTTACTCCGTTCTCTGGCACGCACTTCTTGGCAGACGTAAGCCCCTTTTAATCAAAACGGAATGAGAATGAGAGAGAGACAAAATCAAGTCCCTAGCGACGCGAAGGCAAGGGAAGGAAGGAGGGAAGGAGGGGAAGGAGAAGAGGGAAGGAGGGAAGAGAGGGGAAGGGGTAAGAGAGGAGGAGGAGAAAAGAAGAGAGAAGGGGTAGGGGAAGCGAGGTGAGGTGGACGAGGAGGAAAGAGAGGAAAGGGGTGGGGGAGGAGAAGGAAAGAGAGGGAAGGGGTGGAGGAGGAGGAGGAAAGAGAGGGAAGGGTTGGGGGAGGCGAGGGGCAGGGAGAGGAAGGGGAGGCGTTGCTTTTTTCCCCCTCCACTTCTGTCTCCCCCCCCCCCCCTCTCTGTTCCGGGCGCTTGATGAGGCTGAGCTGACGGCCGGGTCCACTAATGCCACTAATTTGGCCACGCTGCCGAGCTGATAAAACTTTTGTGGGAAAATACACACACAAACTCTCGCTCGTCGCTGACACCGCGAGCCCGGCAAGAAACGGTGAGTGGAGAACCCGGGCAGCGATTGCCGGGAGGGAAGGAGGAGGGAAGGGAAGGAAGAGGAGGGAAGTTAGCCTTTTCTTCCCCCTCGGTTTCGGGGTGGGAGGAGGGGGAGAGGGGGTGGGAGGGAAGAGGGGGAGAGGAGGTGGGAGGGAGAGGGGGAGAGGAGGTAGAGGGGGAGGGGGGTGGGAGGGAGGAGAAGGAGGGAAGAGGGGGAGAGGGGTGGAGGAAGAGGGGAGAGAGTGGGAGGGAAGGGAGGAGGGGGTCGAGAGAAAAGAGAGGAAGGGGTCGGTGGTCGCTTTCTTGCCATCATCTTTTTCCCCCGCATGACCTGTGCTGGCAACGCGGGGCCCTCCAACCAAGGCGGCGAGAAGAGGCCGCTTCGTCCTCCAGGAAGCGGGTTATTCGGGTTATTTCGGCAGCGTTCCTTCCCCCCGATGCCCCGACCGACAAAAGAATTCTTCCACCTCTTTACAACTGCGGGTATTGATAACGACTCTATTTATTGGCCTCGTAAATTCCGCCTAAACAGTTTACAACCTCCGCCACCTCTCTCGACACAATTATTGTAATTTGTGTACAATATCGCGGTCTGTCGCTTTTGTCGGCGCTCAGAACTCACTCAACCGGAGGCGAAGGACGGGATGGACGCCCCCCTGCCCGCGCCACGACCCTCCCGACGTCCTGAAAACGAGACGAAAAAACAGCGCGGCGACGACCACCTCCTCCTCCTCGAGCGAGAGACGAAGAGCCCCAGACGTAGGCCTAGGCTGTGGTCGTCGTGGCAGCCAGGTCGTGGCGGGGGGAGGGCGAGGTCGTAACATCCGCGCCATTGCACCCCCGCCGATGACTGCAGCGCTCGGAGGGGGGAGAGCCATTGTTAAGAGGCACCCGAACCTTTTGTCCAGTGCCAGGCCTCTCGCGCACTCACTCACACAACCCTTTGTTCCCTGATCCGAGTACAACATCTTAATACAGAGGGGGAAGAGAAGTTTTATATATCCGTTACGCATGGGGGAGAGGGGGGAGGACGGGAGAGGGAAGAGGGGAAGGACGGGAGAGGGGAGAGGAGAGAGGAAAGGATGAGAGGAGAGGAGAGAGAGGGGAAGGATTGGAGAGGAGAGAGGAAAGGGTGGGGGAGAGGGGAGAGGGAAAGGATGAGAGGAGAGGGGAGAGGGAAAGGATGAGAGAAGAGAAGAAGGGGAGAAGAGAGAGAGGGAAGGAAGGAAGGAGGGGAGAAGGGAGAGATGGGAAGGAGGGGAGAAATGGGAAGGAGAAAAGGGGAATGTAGCACTACTAGGGAGAAAGCAGGGGAAAGGAGGGGGAGAGAGAGGGAGGGAGGAGAAAATTTATGGACTGGTCGCCGTACAATGAAGTCTTTCAGAACGATCGTACGTAGATGACAGATGTAACCCCCCCCCCCCCCTCCCCTTCCCCCTCCCCCGTTCATCAAAATATAACGAGCAAACACAATCCCGACGTAATACACAACAGCGCCGCTCAATAAAACATCGTTCAATCGTAAAAGGTATCTTGCTTTTTTTTCCTTCTCTCTATTTCTTTTTTTCTCTCTCTCTTCATTCTTCTCTCTTCCTCTCTTTCTTCTCCTTCTCTTCTCTCTTCTCTTCTCTCTCTTTCTCTCATTCTTCTCTCTTCCTCTCTTTCTTCTCCCTTCTCTCTCTTTCTCTCATTCTTCTCTCTTTCTCCCATTCTTCTCTTCTCTTTCTTCTCCCTTCTCTCTCTTTCTTCTCCCTTCTCTCTCTTCCTCTCTTTCTTCTCTCTTCTCTCTCTTTATCTAATTCTTCTCTCTTCTCTCTTTTCTCCTTCTCTCATTCTTCTCCCTTCTCTCTCATTCTTCTCTCTTCTCTCTCTTTCTTCTCTCCTTCTCTCATTCTTCTCTCTTCCTCTCATTCTTCTCCCTTCTCTCTCTTTCTCTCATTCTTCTCCCTTCTCTCTCTTTCTCGCATTCTTCTCCCTTCTCTCTCTTTCTTCCCCCTCTCTCTCTCTTCTTTTTTCTCTTTTTTTACGTCCGAGGTACTAAAGAGAACACAACTCCACCTCCCGACGCACGCAATTGTCGGGGAGACCCTCTGACGCCGTCCCGACCCGGGGGTTCCCCGTTGCACATCGACTCGCCGCCCGTCCGCCCAGCGAAGGAGACGCCCGACGCACGTGAAATATCTTCCTTGTGTTGGTATATGGATGTGTGTGGGTGGGTTTATGTGTATGGGTAGGAAATTAGGGTATATGTGTGTGTACGTGTGTGTGTGTGTGTGTGTGTGTGTGTGTGTGTGTGTGTGTGTGTGTGTGTGTGTGTGTGTGTGTGTGTGTGTGTGTGTGTGTGTGTGTGTGTGTGTGTGTGTGTGTGTGTGTGTGTGCGTGGTGTGTGTGTGTGTGTACTAAAACCCAAAGTTATCCAAAATTCACAAAAATCCCTCCCAGAGCCGCTTCAAGCCGCCGCCGCCGAGTCCCCGGGCCTCGACACCCGCGCTCACCTCTTCCCAAACTGCCGATGATCAACACAACCAAAATATAGATTCATCATTCATCATATTTCGTGCTGAAGTTGCAATCTCCGACGCTGCAAACAGCCCGAGGCAACAGCAAGGAGAAAATG